ATTAAATGAGTATATTCGTGTATTGAAAATATATGGCACCATGCGATAGAAAATAATATAAAGTTAAATGTAAATGTCCATTCAAACAGTGTGTTTGTTTTGTAATATAGATTTCTTAGCTCAGGTTTTTAATTTTTAGTTTTTTATCTACAAAGTAGATTCGGATAAAAACACACAATTAAATTAATTAAATTAGAAACCGCCTACGCGTCTTTATAAAATGAGTATACTCGTATATTGGAAATATATGACAATCGAAAGTAATATAAACATAAAATGTGAATGTCCATTCAAACAGTATGTTTTAACGTTTGGCTTTTTTTTTTTTTTATGGACACATAATGGGCTGCACGGTTTTGTAATCTTCTTGGACTGCTGATACCAGTTGGGTGGGAGCATTCCAAGTTGGCGTCTTTTCATCGACAGCAGTTTTAATACTGATCAACGAACGCTGCCAGCGATTGGTTTCAATTGCCTCTAGCTCCCTGAAATTTGATATTCTGACTTCTATATAATATTAATATTTTTTTTAAATAAGTTAATTCTATTTTTAATTCAATAATTCGAATTAAAAAATAACTAACGCTAATTTTTTAAATTCAATAATAACTCACCTCAGAATCTGAAAATAGACGGGCCTTTCGTTTTCTAGGAGTAGGCGCCCCTGGAAGTAAAGCTGTTGATGCACGATCAGTCTCCGATTAAGTCGCTCTCAACAATGCGTTTTTTCGACTTCGAAGATAACTTGGGCTTCGAAGCTTTAGCAGGCTTGCTCCGTTTTTTCTTCTGTGTCTGAACTTGGGAAGTAGAGGGTTGGACTTCAGCATCCGATTTTAAGGGATTAGAAAACCTGAAACAGAATTTAATTGGTTTTATAATAGTGTACTAACATTTATACTAAAATAATCAAGAAATTATTTACTCGCTGGCATACAAAACAAAACAACGTAAATTATAAAATTATCTTGACTGCTATGTTGCCATACGCGCAAAGAGTTATATACCCTCGAATTGCAAGGGCGCTTATTCACCGCAAATACAATATATATTTTTTAAATATAATTTAACAGTAGCGTTATTTTAATAATGAATATTGACTCTTATTAGAGTCAAACATACGACCTATTATTGCTAGTTACATATTAAAATTAAAGTGTGAATGCAGGCTTTACATAGATTTTGGAGACACATCTACACCGGCGACGCTCTGTCGCTGCTACTTGACACCTAATCTGTATTTGGTAGGGTATGTACTTGTAAATATTTTTTAAATATTTAACACAATCGTTTTAAATTTAGTTTTTTAAGTTTATCAGTATTTACTAAGGATGAAACAATTATGAATCGATCTTCAAATTAAACGCAATGTATTTTACTTTTTATACATTTCAATTGTTAAAATCTTAGCAATAATAAGCCAAAATCGGTGGTTTAATAACAAAACATGACTTGTCAAGCAGACAATTATCTTGTTTATCATTGTAATATTGGCTATTGAATTTTTTATTTTTTATTGAAGAAATAGAGGCATCAAGTTTAATGCTTGTAATTTATTAGACTACTAGATCAAATGAGATCCTCCATTTTGATTTAGAATGAGCTGAAAATAAAGTATTCTAAAAGATTATTTTTTAACATACCTACTATTTTTCGAGATGACTCTAAACTAGAGAATTCCCCATATTATATATGCATCAGACGATGAGGAAGCAGGAGGCATCGTCCTAATACCTTCTACACCGCTTCAGTTTATATTATTATAGACCGTATGTTAAAATGACCCTTACCAGGAATCGAAAGTGACGTTCACGTTTTAAATTTATAAACTTTCACTACAGCGTGGGCCGAGGTCATTAATAGCTAGGTAGTTAAACTGAATTCCATACCATTTAAATATCTATGTCATCAACATCACCCTTTTTATTAAAATTATTACATAAATCCTTATCTCAAAGTAACCAGAAATATTACATACAATTATAGCTAATCATATTTTAACTTAATTCTGTTTGCAATTCCAGACAACATACTATTTTATCATAAAACTAATATAATGTTAGTATGGTAACCGATCTCGCAACCATTATGCATTGCAATGAAGCTCTGAACCATTGTATTGTAATCAATTCAAATAAATCCGAAAGAATGATGGTATTGTAATACACTACAACTAGAATTTAAGAACGTTCATTACCAATACTAAACTGTAGCCAAAATCAAACTCGAACTACTTCTACACCTGCGCTTAATTGCATACGTAATGAATACAAAATCTATAGAATGGTCCAGAAAAAACTTAAGAATTCGGATAAGATAATTTGCCGTCATAGGACTGCTATAATTTGTGTTTCACAATACATAAACCGAACAGACGCTGTGAAACATACATGCGCGTTGTAAGTAAAAAATAGCGTTTATATTTATAAGGACGGCACTGAGCGTATGATGATTCATTTTATTAACCGACTTCAAAAATGGAGGAGGTTCTCAATTCGACTGAATGTTCTTCTTTTTTTCTTTTTCTTTTTTGTAGTATGTTACGCGATAACTCCGGTATTTGTGACCCGATTTTCATGATTCTTTTTTTATTGGAAAGGGGGTACTTCCATAGTGGTCCCATTTCATTTTGAAGAAAATCATCCACCTCGAAGGGTGGCTGTTCACGCATGAAGATTCATTTTTATAAATAGCGCGTAACTTTAATTTAGGAGCAATTACTTTATTGGTTGATTTTGCTATTTCTCCAATTCAAGGCGATTTTCTCTCAATATACTTTGAATAGTGAGAACCGATTTTTATTATCTTCAGTGTCAAGTCTTGTATAGTGGCGAACTAGGGGATATTTCAATAAAAGTTAGCAAATAGATGTAATTCCACGTACTTTTGAGGTCGGTTTTTTTAGTACTCTGTACTGAAATAATTTAAATAAAACTGGGAATGAGAAAAATTTTACATTAAGCGCTCCATATACATTTCATATGGCATTCGAAGAGAAGCTTTAGTTTCAAACTACTAATTTGAATACAAATTTTATATTTACTTAAAAATAAATATCACTTTTATTCGATTTTTAATACGGGACTTAATCATGTATAAATATGTTTTATGCGTGATTAAACCCGTTACCATTGGACCTGTAAAGTGCCCGAAACGTTGGTTTGTTTGAAGGAACGAATATATGTGATTTAAATCTGGAAAAATTGTATAATTTCCTATGTTACCTTAATTTAATTTAAAAATTTAACGTTAGGATTTTATAGTAGTATTGCCAAGTTAAAGTAAATAGGCATTTACTATGCGTGATGGATTGGAAAGTTCAACATTTTGTCGAGCAAGCGACACATTTTTCTTTACATAAATTTTAAACTATCTAAATATATAAACGGGTTTGTAAGATCATCATCGATAGAATATTATACTATTTTAGATTGTAATACCGTCATTATTTCCCTAATATACTTCGGGAGGTAAATTTTAAGGGAGTTCAATTTAAGTTATTGAAATTCTTATTCAGCAAATCTGGTGAATCCAGTTGTTGGCTGTTGTTCTAAACTTGACCCATTTTATCATGCATGTTTTAGGTGTGATTAATAGTGTTTATTATAAATAACATATAGTTTATTTTTTATTTTGGGTGGAATTAGTAAATTATCATTTCGATCGAACTAGATACAATTAGAATCCGTGTCATGATGGCATAATGCCATCTACTACATCACTGTGTTGATGGCAATAAATTTCAAAACACTAATATTAATTTTATGATTTTAGGTATTGCAAGAAGCGTTGAATATCACGATTGGATCTAAACTATTTCTTTAAATATCAAATGTTATTATTGCTCAAAACTAGTTTTTAATAAAAAAAAACAATGTTGCAGCGTTTTCGTTCGTACAATTTATTTACATAATTACAAAAATTTGAGCTAGATTGATTAATCGACTTGACACTCCTTCCTGTATGAATTACCAGCCGTATTTGCTTCCGTATCCATAACCGTGGCTGCTGTAGCCGTAAGAAACAGGATAATAGGAGGAGTAAGAGATAGGGGCAGAGTAGCGCTTATAGATGGGGGCAGAGTAGGAGATAGGGGCAACGTAGCTTTTGTAGATGGGGGCAGAGTAGCTCTTATAGAGAGGAGCAGTGTAGCTCTTATACAGAGGGGCAGAGTACACAGCAGGAACGGAGTATGAAGAGTACCCCAAAGATCCATGACCCAAGGAGCCGTGAGAGTAGCCATGTCCGAGAGAGTAGCCACTGTATCCTCCATAGAGGTTTCCGGCGAGAGTCAAGCCAATTAGGCAAAGGAGGACAGCGACCTGAAAATGGTAAGATTTAAACTTAAAAAAATTATTGATAGTAACAATATTCTTAAAGATTAATTGAGTTCTTGTTAAGAGAAATACATATTGGATTTGATAGAAGTTCTTAAATATGATAGTTAAATCCGAATGCATGGGTTGAGTAGGCAATTGTAACGACGATGTGAGATGAACCCTCTATATCTTAAGAATAGGTCTTAAGGGCTAACAAATATTTTATATTTTCTTACCTTAGCGAACATTTTTTCTACAAGATGCGCTTGCTGTGATACTGTTAAATGTTATGATTTTTGACCGAAAAAAAATGGCTTATATAGTCGTAAAGATGGATTCGGCCTCGCCTTTACAAGACTGGTTTAATGTGACGTTTTTAAACTGTTTCCAAATATCGCAAATTTGCCTAGAAATTGAGTTTACGATTACTGAGAAATATTTGAAGGTGACAATAAAAATAAATTTTGCATGTAACGCCCTGTGTAATGCCCTTGTTTTAAAATGCTACAGGTACAGTATATTGCTTTAGTATAATTTTGATCAAGTTTTGTATTTACTGTTGGTCAGTTATGACATTGGTAATAAAATATTATTGTGTTATTGAAAGCTGTCGGTAATTAGATACATATGTCTTGACGAACTTTTAAGATGATTATCACTAACTACTGGATTCTTACCACGGTATGAGCTCTTTTATTTTGCCGATATTTCCTGTAATTCGTGAATAACCATTTAGTGAATAATCAGAAAGCCTTAAAATCTATATAACTTTTAAGATATTATTAAAAAAATAATTATAAAATTACGTAAAATAAGATTGAGATTCTTTTTAAGCGACTTCAAAAAAAGGAGGAGGTTCTCAATTCGACTGTATGTTGTTTTGTTAATAGATTTTTGTTGGAAAGAGGATACCTCAGGAGTGGTCCCATTTAAATTTAAAGAAAATATTCCACCTCTAAGAGTGGCAAAGTAAGGGATGAATTTCGCGCACTTTCCGGAAATCGATTTAAATTAAACTTGGCAAATAGGTTATATAGGCTATTTCCACGAACTTTTGAGGTCGGTTTTTTAGTACTCTGTACTGAGCTTTTTTATGATTCAAGACGACAGACATCGTGTTCAATGCGCGCAGATAGGTATAGGCAGATCTATATTTTGCACTCCGTTCACAGCTGTAGCCGGTTATATGAGTGCATCAGTTTTCAATATTTACAATTGTCGTACAGAAACTCGCTGGGATTATTGTCCAATCATATCCTACTTGCAAATCCCGCTTGGAACACTTATTATTCTCATGACCAGGATGCATTTAATTCTCCAACAAATAGTATCCATGTACAAATCGAGACATTAAAACCGAAGTAACTTAATACAACATTTTACACACCTTCTGAGAGAGTAAAGTTAATAATTACACATAATTTACCTAACTTGGAAACTTTATGGCAAGTATAAACTGTGTAACAGTAAAGTTGAAATTAACTTTCGTTTTCCAACATAACGTAGAAATTTAATGATTCCATAATTTCATGAC